GTGCGGCCCGGGTTCGATCCTCAGCACCACATACCAACAAAGATGTTGTGTCTGCCGAGAACTGAAAAATAAATATTAAAAATTCTCCCTCTCTCTCTCTCTCTCCTCTCTCACTCTCTCTCTAAAAAAAAAAAATACTTAGAATTGCTCAGTTGCTGATAAAACAAATTATGTAGGTGCCTCTATACATAAATTTTCTATCCAACTTACAGGAGGCTGGAGTTCACTAATAACCTAACTTTGACTAGACACAAATGACACCTGAATATCAACAACACAAATTTATTCACACTTTTTACCTCTCAAGAAAAACACATACATAGACTGGGGTTGTACCTCAGTGAAAGAGTTTGCCTAGCAGCATGCTCTATTCTCTGAGTTCCTAGCCAGCACTGCAAAAAATACCCCACACCTAGTATTAGAGGGGTGAGGAGTCTCCTAAGTGGAATATTGACTGATATAAGGGTCCAATAAGCACCATAAAAAGTGATTCTTTTTGTAACAGACATAACTCCCAAACCCCATCTATTCTGATCCTATGGTTCCATTGACTTGAGAGGGGAGGCAGGAGGAACTGTTCCTCAAAGTTAGGTCAGTTTCAAAATTAGGGAGGCCCATAAACAACTTAGCAAGACTGTTTTAATATATGTATGTATGTATGTATGTATATGTGTGTGTGTGTGTGTGTGTGTGTGTGTGTGTATATATATATATGAGAGAAGCTAAAAACTGAAGTTCCTAACTGATACTGAAGGTGGTTTGAGAACCCTTGCTTTTCATAAACCCACTAGGAAATGAACCAAAAGGTAGTAGGTAGAGTAATAAAGATATGTGAATCTCTGATCACTATAAATGTAAGTGTAAAACTTTAGAAAAATAGATATAAAAAATTCACAGTAATCTTTACTTTTACAAGGACGGTAACAAGAGAAATTAAACCACCCCCCTCAAAAAAAAAAAAAAAAAAAAAAACACAGGCCACTAATACCAGAGGAAATCAGGACCTACTGTTTGGAAAACATTTGTTTCTTGAACTGATGTGGCACTTCTGTCCACTGGTTACAAAATAGCTTAAGCCTTTGTGGCACTGTTCCTTTTCAAAGAAATTATACCTTTTCTCCCTCCAGTCGTACTTGCGTACGGCCTATTCACTTGGCAACTAAACCCTGAGAAATGAGGAGAGCTCGACCCATCACCAGCTGAAGCCGCTACGCATTCGGATGTCTCCTAAGAAGCCAACTCTCTGCCCACACCTCCAAAGTCTAAAGAACCACGACGTTCCCATCAGGAGCTGGGGTTCGCCGAGTATCGGTCGCTCAGTACTCTTCAGCTCACTAGGTGAGAAAGCCCGCTAGCCGGAAGCCCTCCCGCGAGCCACCACGGAAGTCTAAGGCTCCAGCCACTGTAGCCCCAAACAATGGAGTTTTCCCGCCTCCTCAAGGCTCCGCCCCCTGCTCCAGAGCCGGCGGAGGGAAGCGAACGCACGCGCGTCAGGCCCCGCCTCCATGAGGTCCCGCCCATCCGACCCCTGGGGTTCAGCCTCCTCGTGCAAAGGTGTTTTTTTTTTTTGGCGCCAAATCTATTGGTTACATTCTCGGGTTGTCTAGGGGCACTACAGGAGGGAACACGCTTAGACTGAGGTGTCAGAAGGAACGTGAGGGCAGACAGCGCGCCAGGGCCCCGCCTCCTCACCAGCAGCCCCGAGCCAAGGGAGGAAGGAGAGGGGCAGACGATGGAGACAGCCGCCGCTGCCCCCGGCAAGATGGCGGCCGCAAAAAGCAGGGCAGGGGGCGCCAGCCACCAGCCGTTACCGCTAGTGAGCGGGCTCTTAGCAAAAGCGGGGATTCTACACTGTTCAGGCCTCGCTGAACGCCGGCAAGTCGGGGGGAACCAGTCTTCCCACCCACTGGTATATCCTCCTACAGAGCCCCCATCCACCAGCTCTACCGCGGAATGGCCAGTGCCTCAAGCGCGCCATGGTCCCGCTTACTTGTCGGCGGAAACCAGTTCCGCGGCGATGGCAGCAGTGGCTGTGGACTCTGTGGCCATCGTTCCCCTCAAGTGGTGGACCTGTGAGCGGAATGGAACCTGTGAGGAAAACAGAGGGAATTTTGGACGCCAGAGACTTATTAGGGGACAGAAAATGGCAGATTAGGGACCCCTCGCGGCTGGGGCCCTCCTATATACCAGGGCCCTTGCCCCGCCCACCCACTTCCGGATCCTCCTCCCCAGGTTTAAAGGGCCAGGACTCAACCCCTTTCGATATCAAGGGCACCCCTACCCTCTCAGTATGACTCTGTGGGATAACTTCCCTCCCTAGCCCACTTTCCCTCAAAAGATCAACTTCCTGCTTCTATAATAAGTAGCGTAAGAAGAACCAGAATCTTGATACTACAACTCCTGGCAAGGTGTCAGCCTGCAGCTTCTACAGAAAGTGAAGCCGGAGCTGCTCTGCATGTGTGGAGCGAGTAGCGGAGGCTCTCCTTCTGGCCCCGATACCCGAGAAAGCGACTGAGAGTGTCTCTCCGTCCTCTCAATCTTAACGGATAAACACGCAGGAGCTGAGCACGGGTCCAGCAGTAACGGCTGGAACTGACCTCCGTGAGAGACGCGTGGCTCTGGACCTCAGCAACTACTGACGGAAGAGGATGCTGTTCTAGGATTGGCTACAGCTGAAACTACCGCGCCTGATTCAAAGTTCTGGGCTGCGGCAGGGTGAGACTGGCTCCTCCCTCCGGGCACGCCCCCTTTAGGTGACCCAATCCGCTTGTGCCGTCGTTTTAGGCCCTACCCAGACTTCAAATCCGACTACTTCAACAAGGATGAGACCCGTCCGTCCGGACTGCAGTCTCAGTTTCAACTACATTGGGTTTACTGTGTTTGAATGCTATTAGCCGTCATATTCAATCGTAACAACTAAAATACTAATGAGATCAGTGTTATCAGCCATTTCATAGAAAAAGAAACCAAAGTTCAAGAAAGGTTGACCAGCTCAGAAAGTTGCAAGACAAATTGGTTGTGAAAAGCTGGGTACCTCATTTTCTACAGCTGGCTGAGTGAAAAATAACTGGCTGGCTGAAAAAGGCTGCACTCCTGGAGCATCATCTATTGCCTTTCACCAGGCACAGCCTACAATGATCAGAACAGGGAGTTTTTTTAGCTTCCAGGTTCAGGCACATTAAGCGGGAAAGATACCTCAGGAGAATTTTTATTACAATCTCTCAAGATCCAGGCAGGTTGATATCTTTGGAGACTAGAACCAGACCCGAAAATGACAATTCCTGTGGTCAAGAGACCTGGAAGCCAGGCATGGTGGCGCACGCCTGTAATCCCAGCCGCTCTGGAGGCTGGGATCACAAGTTCAAAGCCAGAAGTGAGGCGCTAAATAGACCCTGTCTAAATGAAATACAAAATGGGGCTGGGGATGTGGCTCAGTGGTCCAGTGCTCCCGAGTTCAATTCTCAGTACCAAAAAAAAGTGTGTGTGGGGTGGTGGGGGGGTGGGCGGAAGGACCTGGACTCTCCTAATATCATCTGGCTGACCTGAGCCACATCATGTAAGCTTTTAAGATTAAATGTAGGGCTGGGGTTGTGGCTCAGAGGTAGAGTACTTGCCTAGCATGTGTGAGGCACTGGGTTCAATTCTCAGCACCATATATTAATTAATTAATTAATTAAAGTCTCCAACAACAATTTAGAAATTAAATTAAAAATTTTAAATGCAAAAATAACAATTTTAGGATCCACCACTTAAGGATATTGTGAAAATTAGAGGTGATTAGCACTGTGCCTGATGCATAGTAAGCACTCATTAAATGGCTACCACAATCTGATATCCTGGTGACTGGAGGGTTAGGGTGAGAGCAGGGGAGATCTCTCTAGAGTCCTTGCAGCCAGGGCTAGGGCCTGAGAAATCCATTCCAGTTACCTTTATGACTCATTTATCCATTAAACTAATATACTCTGAGCACCTATGATGTGCAAGGTTTTGCGCTATATCCTAGGGAAAACATAAAGAGTCTCTACCTTTGAGGAACTCAGTCTTTGTGTCTGGAGGAGAGGTACTGGAGGGGCACTCTATCACTGAGCTACACACCCAGCACCCCCTTTCTTTTTATTTTGAAATAAGGTCTAAGTTCCTAAGGCTGGCCTTGAACTTGGGATCCTCCTGCCTCAGCCTCAGCAGTCACTGGGATTATGCAAGGTATCACCACATCCAGCAAGGAACTCAGTCTGAAGAGAACTTTTCTTTTTTTGGTCCTGGGGGTTGAACCCAGGGCTTTGTCCATCATATATTATATACCAGCCATTATTTTAAACCTACCCACTACTTTCCATCTTAATACCATCATTCTCAATCAAAGCCTAGCAACAGTTATGTCTCACGTGCACTACTGAATATACTCTGGTCTGTTTAACTCTCCAGAAAAAAATATTTTTCTTTTCTTTCTTTCTTTTTTTTTTTTTTTGGTACCAGAGATTGAACAATTGAGGGGCACTGAGTTGCCCACTGAGCCGCATCCCTATCCCTATTTTGTATTTTAGAGACAGGGTCTCACTGAGTTGCTTATTGTCTTGCTTTTGCTGAGGCTAGTTTTGAATTCCTAATCCTCCTATGTCAGTCTCCTGGATGCTTGGATTACAGACGTGAACCACGGAGCCTAGTGAAAAAATTCTTCTTAAAATGTAAATCAGGAGGCTGGGGTTTGGCTCAGTGGTAGAGCACTTACCTCTACTCAGTGGTAGAGCAAGGGTGAGGCACTGGGTTCGATTCTCAGCACCACATATAAATAAGTGAAATAAAGGCCCATTGACAAATAAGAATATTTTTTTTAAAATGTAAATCAGTTCATATCATTCTCTTGAATAGATTGACATTGCTCTTGAAAGATATTTTGAGGTGCTTATCATTACCTACAAGATCCTACACGATCTGTTTCCAATTCATGTCTCCAAATTCATATTATATTACTCCCCTTCACACTGGTTTCCTTTCTTTTCCTCAGAATACTCAAGTACTTTCTCATGTTGAGGGGTCTTTGTACCTGTGACCTCTTTACCTAGAAAACTCTTCTTCCAATACTCTCCAATAACTAGTTCCTGTACATTGTTCTCATTCCAAATGCTACTTCCCAAAGTGATCTTTCCTGGCCAGGCATGTTAATCCCAATGACCTGGAGGCTGAGGCAGGAGGATTGAAAATTTATTTTTATTTTTTTTTTAAAAGAGAGAGTGAGAGAGGAGAGAGAGAGAGAGAGAATTTTTAATATTTATTTTTTTTTAGTTCTCAGCGGACACAACATCTTTGTTGGTATGTGGTGTTGAGGATTGAACC